CAAAATATTCAACGCTGGTTTTGTTGAATTCACACTTCAGCTTATTTAATGTTAGGTTACGAGACTGAAGACGTTCCAATACAGATTTAAGGTTGTTGTCATGTTCTTTTTGGTTGGATCCATAGACTAAGATGTCATCACTGATGTTAATACAGCCGTTGAGACCTTCAAGAGTTTCTCGAATAGTATTTTGGAAAATTTCAGCTGCAGAGGTTACTCCGAAATTAAGGCGCTTATATCTCCTCAGGCCGACATGGGTGCTAAACGTGGTAATATAGCGTGATTCTTCTGAGAGTTCAAGTTGGTGATAACCTTGATTGAGGTCAAGCTTTGAAAATACTTTAGCGTCATTTAGATCTGCTATGACGTCATCTATGGTGGGGGTTATGTGACGTTCTCGCTGGATTGCCTTGTTGACAGCCCGCATATCCACACAAATTCTAACATCGTTTGGACTTTTGGGTTTCGGCACAACAACGATTGGAGAATCCCAGGGCGTTGGACCTTCTGTTTTCTCGATGATGTCATCCTTTTCCATCTCTTCAAGCTTTTTCTCCACCTGTTTCCGTAGATGGAATGGTATCCGCCGATGGGTTTGAGCAACGGGTGGAATTGATTCGTCAATATGTAGCTTCACCTTATGATCTTTTAATTTTCCAACGCCATTGAATAATTCCTCAGGTATTGCAACATTGCAGGATACAGTTGTGTTCTTAGCAGTGTCCACAGCGTTAGTAATTGCAATCAAACCAAGATGCTTTGCAGTATTGTAGGATAACAAAGAACCTCCAAGGCGACCGTTGTTGCTAACGACAAAAAACTCGGCAGCATCAATTCGTTTCCGCGATTCTACAGTAGCAGTAAACTTTCCAAGGACACGGAGGGGTTTATCGGACTTGTAGGGGTAGATGTTGATAGAACTGTGTTGCAATGTTATTTCCGGTTTGAGGGCTTCAAAATCCTTTTCTTCGAGTAAATTAACTGTCGCTCCAGTGTCAATAATGAATTTAACTTTGGCTAGGTTTTGAATCCGTAAGTTAACCATTGGATGTTTGGTATTTTCGTCTGTATCTTGCACCATAAACGTATATTCATCCGACTCGGAGTGTTCACTGGTATTGTCACTTGCGATTTCTTCGTTTACATATTTAACCGTCTGACGTTTGTCACTTTCATGGTGGCGATGTTGTTGTTTTTGTGGAGATGAACGGCATGCGACGGCAAAGTGATTCAATTTCCCGCAAAGTCGACACGTTTTCCCTTTTGCTGGACATACGCCAGGATGACGATAGAGTTTGCTGCAAAAATAACATAGTTTCGTTGATTCTTGTCTTGGTCCTTGACGTTGTGAGTTGAAGTTCTTCGAAAAGTAATTTCGTGTTGCAGCAGTTTTCATCTGGTTGACTGATTCTGTGTTGTTATTTTCCATTTCCTGAGCTTGTTGGTGTGATAGTTCGTAGGCTCGGCCTTGATCTAAAAGTTGTTGGAGAGTCATTTCAGTACGAAGGGCTTTTCGTCGAAGCTGTTGGGACGTGCACGTTTGGACAATTTGTGTTTTAATTTCGCGATCCATGTCTGCAAATTCACACGTGGAAGCAAGGTGTCGAAGGCGAGGGTGGTAAGAATCGAGCTTTTCGTCATGGCGTTGGCTAGCTTGGCGAAATTTGTAGATTTCATACTCCGTATTCTTTTTAGGCTCGAAATAAGTTGTAAGTGATTTCACAGCGGTGTCAAAATCATCCTCAGAACCTTTCTGTTCGGCGGTAAACGTGTCAAAGATATCGTAAACTTGTGATCCAGCCAAGTGTATAAGTAAAGCACGTTTCCGTTTCTTTGCCGATATATCCATAGCGACCATAAGATTGTTAAAACGTTGCAACCATTTTTTCCAGCGAGTGGCAATAGAAGAACTCGAAGTGTCGTTCCCATAAACTATAAATGGTTCGAAATCGGGTATGGCTTTTGCCCTATTTTATTATTATTTTTGTCCTCGTCGCCAAATGTAATATAGTACTCCTTCGATGCATAAACACATGTCTAGCTTCTATCTTACAAGTGCGCATGCTCCTAAGGCATGATGTAACTATTACGTCATTACAGGCGTACGGGACGGGGGGCAGCTGCCCCCCCCTCCCCCAAACAGATTACAAAGTCGAAAAGTCGGGCAAATATTCAACAAAAGTCGGGCAAAAGTTGGGCAAAAAGTAGTCAAAACAAGAAAATCTCGCTTAATAATAACACCAGTTTGTTGGACAAACAAAGCCAGTTGGGCAATATTCGCTTCTCAGTCGGGCAATATTTGGTAATTCTAAAAATAAATGGGACAATTCTGTCAATTTTGTGGGAAATTATGTCACATTTTCGGGAAAATTTGTTTGATGTTTCGAAAAATTTTGGTATGTCCGAAAATTTTTTTGACCCCTAAAATGGTACACTGACCAAAATTTTTTTGGCGACGGGGTCGTCAAAATTAATTGTTCCGGGCAAATTTCTTTCTGCCCCCCCCCAAATTCTTTCCTTCCCGTACGCCTATGCTTTTAATACAGTTGTTTTTGCAAAGTTATATTTAGCCCTGGTGCGACCTATATTAGCTAGAGTATGCTTCTCCCTTATGGTCTCCTCAACAAATGAAATATGTAAAAGCTCTAGACGGCATTCAAAGCGTAGAGTCTTTCTAAGTAAATCCTTTTTTAACCCGCGGCCCCAAGGAAAAGCGTTCCACGGTTGAACAACTCTTACAAAGAATGAATATTTATAGCAATTTATTCTTGGCAATTTAGTGTACAACGTATACTTATGGTGGTTCTGACGTCTTGTTTGAGGGTTGAAATTCAAAGATCTCCGCAAATAATATACCATTAAGACCGAATATCGATTTATAGCATTCAACGCACAAGAGATAGGAGATTAAATCCAGCTCTGGGTGTACCATCATCAATGTGCAAGCTAACTGACTTTTTCTATCTTGAACAGTTATACGAATTTTTTACGGAATCGATTTTTAGTGTGATGGAATGTATATATAGTTCTGGTGCACGTGATTACAGTGGTTACATTAATTTCCGTTGTGAAAACTGGTATAGTAATTGGTTATATGTGTCTGGTTATGTTAAATATACCATATACGTTTCCGCTTGCCAAAAAGTAGAAGCAGTAAGTCAGATATGTACCAAATTAAGGCATATAGCGGCTCAATATAATTATACTAAAGATATAAAACTGTCGATGTAAAATATCATTTGCGTGAATTAAATGGTTGACATGCATTCGGGAATGAAGAGGAATATTTTCCTTAATTAAATATTAAATATTCATACCTCTAAAATTCAAATTCCTACCTTAAGAATTCCTCAAAACTTGTCAACGGGGGGATCTTCATTCCAATTTTTGTTTCAAATATATTATCAATATTCATATTCCTATAATTAATATTCATTTCTAAAAAGATCAATCATGCTAAATTAGAACTACGTTAATTGAAAATTTGATTTCAGAGGAAACAGAAAATAACATATGTGAGCAGGAGTTACCATGCAAACATGGCGAGTGCATTCCTGATGGTGATTCGTATTTATGTAGCTGTGATTCGGATTATGAAGGGAATAACTGTGAAACGTTGATTGGTAAATATAATTACTGTAGCAGTTTACTATACTTTATTTCACTATATTATTACTTTCGGTTAAGGTGGAATGCCCCTCAAATTTTTCTCAGATTTTTGAAAAAAGTTTTTTGTTTTGTTTTATATGATGCCTATGTTATCAAAATATACTCCTATGTTGCTTTCTCCATGATTTTATTTATTTTAAGGTGGCTCAATACAGTTTTTTAAAAAAATGGAAAATTGACGATTTATATGCGTATTTTTGGACAATTATTACTTGTTGATAAACAAAAAGTACCTTACTTAAATAAAACAACATCTAAACAGTTTGAATTTTTTCAAGTTACGCAACTGCCGTTGCTATGGCAACAATGACGTTTCAAGATGGCGGATATTTTGGGCTTTAAAGTAATTTAACTCGTAAACGACATCGGTGACCCCCACATTTTATTTCAAAAAATTATTTCTCTTAGTATAATCAATTATTTTGACAATTTGAAAAAATTCTGTGGAGCCAAAGAAAATTATTATGAATAATCACCTTTACCTAATTTAAATTTAAATTGTCAAAATAATTGATTATACTAAGAGAAATCATTTTTTTAAATAAGATTTGGGGGTCCCCGATGTCGTTTACGATTTAAATTACTTTAAAGCCAAATTATCCGCGGCCATCTTGAAACGTCGTTGTTGCCATAGCAACGACAGTTGCGTAACTTTTGTGCAAATATTCAAACTTTTTAGATGTTGTTTTATATAAGTAAGGTATACTTTTTGTTTATCAACAAGTAATAATTGTCCAAAAATATGCATCTAAATCGTGAATTTTCCATTCTTTAAAAAACTGCATTGAGCCACATTAATTTCGGTTAAACACATGCTGAAACAAAACGTACTTAATTAATTAATTAATTAAACATTCAAAGTTTCAAACTCCAGGTATACTGATTAGTCCCACTTTGAAATTGAGTTCACCAGGTATATACCATGGGTTAGATACAAAACTACAAAATTTAACCGAAGTAGACTTCAATGAAGTCTTTTTCTGATGACGGCATTTTTCACTTCTACATTTCTCGCGGAAGTGTCGCTAAGTGATTATAGATCAACTTGAATCAACCATCTGGAATGTTGGAAGTTCGTTTTTAAAGATTAATGGCAAACACTATAGACAACAAAGTAAAATTGTTGAGCACTTAAATGATACGTAATACTCCACAAGTTAATAATCAAATTTTTAGATGATTGTGTTGGCCGTCCATGTGTAAATGGAGAATGTATTGATGGAGTAAATTCATATCAATGTAGATGTAAATCTGGTTATGAAGGAACAAACTGCGAGGAAAGTACGTACAGAATAAGTGCTAAAAGTATAAATAAATTGTAAAATGTGGTTGTTAACTCGTTGATGCGCAAGTCTCTCTCCTTGACGAGTAAAGTCCTCATTCATTTGGACGCATTGCAGCTTACTGGTTAATTGATTAATGTTTGTCATTATTTTAATGATATTTAAAACGGATAAACGAGCCCAGTATGGAACAGAAGATGACCACTGCGAACAATTTATCCACACACCACATAACATGTGTATTCCCCACAGACATCACTGCATGCATGCATGTGTTTTCCATGCAGTGTCTCCCCCATCCTTAGGCTTATCTTAATTTGATCATCTTCTTTCCAAAGTATATGTACCCGTAATAAAAAATCTAAGTCTCATGCAGTCAAATTTAGTCGTAAATCAGTACCAACGGTAACAGCGAAACCCTGAGTTAATTGTTGACTGTATTAACTGATTATTTTTATAATTAAAATATTTCAAATTATTGTCACCAGGCAATAAAACTATAAATCTACTGACACGTTAAACTTGAATGTTTTACATTTTAGACATTGATGATTGTCTTGGTGGTGCATGTGTAAATGGAGATTGTATTGATGGAGTAAATTCATATGAATGTAGATGTAAACCTGGTTACGAAGGCAAAAATTGCGAGAAAAGTAAGAAAAATTTTAATTTGCCACTTTATATTATAGTAAAAATGTTCAATTAAAATACAACAATATATCAATGCTCCTTTAAAATTGATGCCATATTTATATATGCCAGGCTTTCTGGCATCCTTGTGTAGAAAAGTAGGACAAAAGTAGGACTAGAATTTTAGGAAAAGTAGGAATAAAGTAGGAAAATGTGTAGAAAAGTAGGACAAAAGTAGGAGTTTTGGAGATTCAAATAACACAAAAATATACAAAATTGGCCCCTAGGATATATGTGGTAAGGGGTAGACCATTAGATATCTGATGGGGAAGTTGTGTGAATTTTTGGTGCTCAATATTTTTATGTACTCATTCATCTATGCAGGATTTTTTTCTCAAAACTCTTAAATTGCATCGGTATAAAAGCTAAGGCATCTGCTCCGCAGCAACACAATTCAAATGCATGTATTAGGCTACACAATGCACCAATCCACACTGCGGCAGGAGCATATATCAGGACCGTAGGAAGCTCTTTTCGATTGGGGGAGGGCCGAAAGCGAGGGCCAAAGGCCCGAGGAAATTTTTAAATTTAGAGTCTCTGAAATGCCATTTACTGGACTTTGGGGAAGATTTGACAGAATTCTAATGGTCAGAAAACAGCATTTTAGTATGTCGAAATTTACAATTTGGTAGTACTAAATGGGCGAAGGCGTATTTAATTAACTATATATTGGATAAGTTGCTGGAAAGTATGGGTAATATCTTCATTCTTTGCAGTTTCTCATGGATCAAATGATAAAGGTCTGCATGATTTAAAAAAAAAAGGATTATTAACAAATTATTGGGTGGCTGCAGCCCCCCGGTTGCTACAGCCCTGTATATATGATGCTTGATTAACTGGGAGGGGGAGTAGAATATTTGGAATCTCTAGATCGTCGGAAATGCACTTTCAAAGTCTTCATTAATTTATTGATTATGATTCTAGAGATGCTATGCAATTTTATACTTGGAAAATGTACTTCTCCTCCTGAGATCTTATCATCTGGGACACAAATAGGGAATAAAAATTACGAGTCCTATAGATCTAATTACGAGAGCTATAACATACTGATTCCCCAAGCTGTCTTAAAAAAGTAGGATTTTATTAAAAAAAGTAGGAAAAAGTAGGAAAATCAAGCAATTTTTAATAAAAAATAGGAAAAGTAGGAAAGTTGAAGAAAAGTAGGAAAAAGTAGGAAAAGTAGGATGGCAAGAAAGCCTGATATGCATGTAAACTGATTACCGAACTTCAGACATCATTTTGTCTTTGACGTACCAGAAGATGACCACTCATGCAAACAATTTATCCACATCACATATATCATGTGTAGGCTATTCCCCTGCACAGACATCATGCATGCATGTGTATCTTCCACAACAGCTCCCCCATCTTAAGCCAGTTAAGGTCCGTTTACATTTGCAATTTTTGCTGCGATTTCTATAGTGCGATTTTCTCCTTCTGATGCATGTGAACGAGTAGAGGAGTCGCGAATGTTCGGAGTACATGTACAGCAATGTGAACATTCATGACTAAATTGACTTATCTACTCGTTCACATCAAGCAGAAGAAGAAAATCGCACCTAAAATCGCAGCAAAATTTGCAAGTGTAAACGAGCCTTTATTTTTATAATTATAATATTTCAAATTATTCAACATAACTAAATATTACTTACACTTTTAAACTTACGTTCTTTGAATATTTTTCATTTTAGACATTGATGATTGTCTTAGTAGTGCATGTGTAAATGGAGATTGTATTGATGGAGTAAATTCATATGAATGTAGATGTAAACCTGGTTATGAAGGCAAAAATTGCGAGAAAAGTAAGACCATTTGTCACTTAATTTAGTGCATGAACCTTACAGTAAAATATTTTCAATTAAAATACAATATCAATGATTCTTCTTATTACGTACGCCATATTTATATATGTAAACTTTACTGACTTACCGAACTTTAGATATCATTTTCTCTTTGACATATCATCTATAAAGCAGCATTATTTCTAAATGAAACACTAAAAATACTTGTGGTGATACGATGGAGAAACGTACTAAAAAATAGAAATTTAGATGTGGTCATAACTATATGCATGGTATATATGTCTTTACTCCAAACGAAAATTTTTATTTCAATTCATAGACATTGACGATTGTGTTGGCCGTCCATGTGTAAATGGAGAATGTATTGATGGAGTAAATTCATATCAATGTAGATGTAAACCTGGTTATGAAGGAACAAACTGCGGGGAAAGTACGAAAATCATTAAATTGTTATATTTTAGAAAAATATATACTATGAATAATATATATCAAGTAGAAAGGTATATGAAAATGCACTGATACTACAGGGGCGGCGCTAGACCTCTTTGAATGGTGGGTGCAAGTAATGCCGAGTTATGAAGGCAAAGAATGGGGGGGGGGGGTGTAAGTATATAATGCCGAATTAGGAAGGAAAATTTTGTCACTACAATCACTAATTAATATTTCTTTTCCCGAAATTGTTGGCAAGCCCGGGGGCATCACATGTCTCAATATAATTTTGTGTTCAACCACCGTTGTTCGTTCCATTTTTCCATAATTGTTTCGTAAATTTCTCCACATTTTAGCTATCATTCTTAATTTAATTTTAATCGGTGTTACTCAAATTTTTTTCTTCCTATCCAAGTTCATGATTTGCCAACTGGGATTCAATATTTTACGGACTACCTTATATGACTGGACGGGGAGGGTGTTAAAAATGATCAAACTGTTCACACTGTTGTGCAACTAATGGTTACAAGCCAATTTTAGTGGAATTTGGATGAAAATGAGATGATAAACTTACAAAATCTAGTCTTCGCTCTTTTCCGCGCTGAAAAGAACTGAAGTATAATTGATACAACGGTATAATAAATGTATGGACACTTAAGCCATGGGCAAACTAGGAAACATTGTTGCGGAAACATTTGTGATTCTCGATGTTTCCTCAAATGTTTCCATGTTTGCCCACCCGTGGAAACATTGTTGCGGAAACAAAATTTGCTTCCTGGGAAGCAAAAATGTTTCCTACCAAATTCAGAAACATTTGATGTTTCCCTATGTTTCTCACCAATGTTTCCTAGTGTTTGCCCACTCTGGGAAACATGGCGAAACATTGGTAGGAAACAATGTTTCCGCAACAATATTTCCTAGTTTGCCCAGGGCTTTACAACATTTAAATCTAAATAACATAAAACATTTACTTTCCGATCCAGATATTGACGATTGTGTTGGAAACAAATGTGTTCATGGAAAATGTGTTGACAAAGTTAATTCGTACCAATGCCAATGCGATTTTGGTTATGAAGGAGACAGGTGTGACCAAGGTAAGAAAATATCTCAAAAATCAACTCAACAGTATTAACTTCGGCCCCTTTTACGACTTTTCATTAGGGGTACATTACACCCCCTATATACCACCCCAGGGGCACGGCACTGCATTAAAAGCTTTTCAAGGATCCGTGTCAGCAATATATTAATGTGATAGGTTTTTTAGATTTTTTATTTGAAAGACGTTGACTGGATTTTTTGTACAATATGTTTCCCAGCCGTATACTAAACGAAATTTTTTAACACCGTCCATGCAGGAATTTGGGAAATTATTAGCACTAGCGAAAAAAGCACACCACTACTTAAATGTATTTTTAAACAATGATTTTTAGTTATTATGAAGCCCTCAACTTGCTCAGATGCGAACTGGTGGAAAAGTTTCGATGCAAAAGGCTGGTCAAATTGTGACAGGGATAATCTGTTCATCACTGGATTTAATCGAAGTCCTCCAAAGAAAAATAATAAGGATCCAATTTACTTACTCGAAGAAGCAAAGTGCTGTAGTGCAATACCACTGTTGAGCAGTAAAGGTGGCGAGTGTTTGGCCGCAAACTGGTGGTCAACTCTAGATAAGTATGTTGATTAACTATTTCTAAGGTTACTATGGTAACCATATAGCCAGCGGCATACGTCTATATCAGTTACAACACTCCAGTTAAAGTTTTACGTCTTCATCAGGGTTGCAACTAGCTCCTTACATAATGTAACAACACCAGAGCGGTTTCAAATTCAGACAAAGAGCGGTTTCAAATTGTCCCAACGCTCAAGTAGAGCTTATAGAATTTTAGGTGTACTTTTTCAACCGGCAGTTTATCCCAATTGTTAAAATCGTTTTTGATATATACACCCCAAACTTCTGCATTGTACAGAAGAATGGGGATTATTATGCTGTCGAAAATTTTAATAGCAGATTTGGGGCTAAGTTGGTGTAGGTTGAGCAGTCTTCTAATGCTATATGGCACATGCAGGGCTTTTTCACTCAGCTGTTTGATGGCCAAGGCAAAGTTACCATTGTGATTAAGCTTTATGCCTAGGTAACAGTATTCCTGTACAACGGATATCTTTTCATTTCCTAGTGTGAAAATTGGTTTCGCTTTTTTGTTTTCCTTTTTTCAAAAATCATAATTTGGGTTTTCTTTACGTTTACCTCCATTAGCCACTTCTTATTCCAGCTATGGAGTTTATCCAGACACTTTTGGAGGCCGAATTTTGATTTATATAAATAGTATTAGATAATCTGCGTAAAGAAGACAGCTCAGTTCTGTTCCGTTAGGCAGTGTAAATGGGTCCGAATTGGTGTTTTTAAATAAGGTCGTCATTTCATTAATATAAATATTGAAAAGGGGGCTTAGTATACATCCTTGACGTACACCTTTAGAATAAGTGAAAAATCGGTTCTGATGTTGTTTTGTTTGATAGCACATTTCGAGTTAGAATAAAGACTCTTTATAAGACTGTAAAACTGAGCATCAATTTTATTTTCAAGTAATTTCAAAAAAAGATCTTTGTGCCAAATAGAGTCAAAGGCTTTTTTAAAATCCACGAAACATGCGTAAATTTTACACGCGTTTTGTTGTACTTGTTTGTCAATTAGTGTTTTTCAAAGTAAAAATATGGTCTGCAGTTCGGTGGCCAGACTGAAATCCAATTTGAGATGGATGTATTAAGCTTTGTTGGTAACTAAAATTACTTAGGCGGTCATTAAGGATAATGCAGAGAATTTGCTCAAACAACTTGTCACACAAATTCCTCTGTAGTTGTTGGGGGTTAGTTTTATCACCAGACTTAAAGATAGGCGTAATCAGTCCTTCACACCATTGATCTGGGAAGCTACCAGTTTCTAGTATGAGGTTAAAAAGTTTTTTGTATCCTTGTAACAGTATGTTTGTCCTGCAGTTGTTTATCAGAGTACGCGGATTTGTTGTTTTTAATTTCCTCGCGGCGTTGATAATTTCGTATTCTGAAATAGGTTTATCGAGTAAATTATTTGTGGGTTCCTTTTCAAGAGTTTTAAGCGTTTGTAATATACTGATTAATCTGTTCAGAGCCTATTGCAATGTTACAATATGGGGGAGGGGGGTGCACCCCCAAACCCCCACCGCCCCAGTAGTTACGGTCCTGTTTGTTGGATATGGTGACTCTAAGGTCTTTTTCCTCTCATGACACTCAGCAGCGTTTCTGAACAGTATGCGTAGACTTATATCTCATACAAATTAAATTATATTTTCGAACGCATTCATTCGTAACTATACTTGTCGTTCTCCAGAGAAAATGCCCATCGTTAACAGACATCAATGCAGGTGTATACTATACACTCACTGGTATATATATTATTTATACAGCTATCCTTTATGAAATTTTACCGGCCCTCCCTCCCCAATATAATTAATGACTGTTAAACATAACATACAATTGCGTGATAATCTTGCCATAAACGATCGTTATGGTCAAACACCTTGTTTGTAAGTGTGGCTTTGGTGCTGGCGTTATATTCCTCTATATATCAAAAGAGACTTTAGAGCAACTGCTCCAATGACGCGGGACCTAACTGCAGAATCAAATCATTGGGTCGTGAATATAATCATTCGGGGAATACATTCATTTACTTAATTCTTAAAGTAGAGTATAGTGAGACATGTCTCTCATCAATTCAATTATTTTTTTCAATAGGAAAAACGAGTGGAGTTTGTGTCCCTCAGGTTACTTCCTAAACGGTTTGTATCGCAACAGTGGAGACAAGTTGCATAAAATCGAGGAAGGTCGTTGCTGTAAACCCAAAACTCATCCTAACTGGTACGGACAATGCTATGACGAAAATGTTGGAATAGCATTTGATAAGCAAGGATGGTCAAAGTGTTCCAAAACTGGTCACTACATCACTGGAGTTCATCGCGATTCTGGCACTGACTGGCTTCACAATATTGACAAATTCCGCTGCTGTCAAATGTTCCCTTCAGGTAAGAAAGACAGAAGTGTATAGCCTGGCATTCCAATTATATGGATATGAAAATACTGCAATTGAGAGTGTCGCTTTTTACAGTGTCTTGCGTCACTGCTGACTGGATATTAAGTTTCGATAAACAAGGATGGTCGAAATGTACTGGGGAAAATACATTCATTACCGGATTTTACCGTTCTGAGAAGAAAGGAAATGATGAAATATACCGTCTTGAGAAGGCAAGGTGTTGTATTGCCAGCCCACAATACCAAGGCGAAAGTGGTGTTTGTGTCGATGAAAATTGGTGGGGAATTCTCGATAAGTAAGTTATTTTAATTAAATCCCAAACCTTATGAAATTGTGTACCAATAGTTGTTTCACTTGACTCTAGTACATTTGGTGCGAATTAGAATTTTTTTGATCTTCAACCTCGATTCCAGGGTCTTTAGAAAGACCCTGGAAACAAAGTTGACTTGAACTTTTGGTTATATAGAAAATGGTTTTCATATACCGGGTGTCCCAAAAAAAAGTACTCCGGTTTGATTCTCAATAACTTCTAAACAAGTAAAGCTATCAAACAGAAATAACTTGCATTAAATAGAGGAATGACTAACTTAGATTTTGATATATTACAGTTGTATTTTACTTAAAAATTCACGGAGATATTAATGTTCAAAATCGGGAGCATATTTTTGGATGTGTCTAAAATTAGCGAAAAACGGCATATCAAATATTAATTCCAGCGTTTGTTTGCTTAATGACATATCAGGCTATTATAAACTTGTATTTCAGCGAATTGTCGTTAGGACTTATAAGGGATATGGCGTAAATTTAGACATCTTACATGTAAGTTTTAGCTTATTGTTTCCTGAAATATGAACGTTCGAAATTATGCGGGTATTTAATAGGTCTTTACAAACTTAAAGGTACATGCATGAAAGACCATGCAAGTTAAATTTTTCTTAAATATAGCCTAATTTTTTTTATAATGTTTTTCATGGGTTCAAAACAAAGTTGATTATTTCTCGGTTAGAGCAAGATAAATATTATTCTTTAATGAATTAGGAAATAATTTTGCTTTTTGCAAATACACATCACAGAATCAACGCTACTATTTTGTTACGTTTTGTTCCAAAAATGTTGGATGTCTCTGGGGAGTTGCTCTAATATGTCTTATGGAGTTGTATGGTTTGATTGTGTTTTATTCTCAGTTTATTCTGAACTTGCCAAGATTAAGAAAAAGCAAAAGAGTTTGGGTGTTCTTAACAAGATTTCAAAACGTTTCAAAAGTTAGAAGAGCTTCACAATTCCATTGTGACAGCATACCCTAATTCAACTACGAACGATCCATGACGATCATTCGCGATACAGTGGCCTCGTGAAATAAGGAAACGTATTCGTGCTAGCAACATGCACACGCGGATTTCGGACGAATAAATCTTGCTTGTATTTTGTAGATAATAATACTTTGTTTCATAATAAACAATTTGTCAAGTGTCATTTATTTACTGGTAATAGTGCATGTTTTAGTCGGGCAAATCTTGATTAATATTTGATACGCCGTTTTTTGCATATTTCAGACACATCCAGAAATATGCTCCCGATTTTAAACATTAATATCTCCGTTAATTTTTAAGTGAAATACAACTGTAATATATTAAAATCTAAGTTAGTCCTTCCTCTATTTGATGTAAGTTATTTCCCTTTAAAAGCTTTACTTGTTTAGAAGTTATTACGAATCAAACCGGAGTACTTTTTTTTGGGACACCCGGTATACTTACTATAAATCTCCATCTCTTTCCAACCATGAAAAAGTGAAAAAAATTTACCCAACCTCAAATATCAATTAAAAATAAATATACCCACCCCTGGCCAAAAACTATACAAAAGGGTACCATTTAGTTGTATGTTACACATCTCCTTTACCACCTCTGCGACACGAGTTTGATAACTACTTGTGCAGTTTTTCTGCAGCCTACTGCAGTTTCGTGGTGTCTGCACATGTACACTCTTTGGAGACACTTATGTCTCCTGAAAATGATACGATAGTGACTCTGATTGATTCACATATTGTATTGACATGATTTTTATAGTCTTCAATATTTGAATGATTCATGCTTTTGAAATGACAATAAATAAATTTTTTATTACCCAACCCTTGAGTTGTTTTGTTTTTCATTTACCCACCCTTTTACTCACTCAGAATTTTGTTTACCCAATCCTTTTCTTCAGTCCCCCCCCCCCCGCCATAAATAATTACCGCGGTCCCTAGAGATTTTCTTAAAATTTTCTTTTTTATGCAGCAAACGAACATGGGCTAAATGTCGCCCTGGCTATTTCCTACATGGCCTAAAACGCACCAGTGGCAATAATGTACATAATATTGAAGAGGGAAGATGCTGTCGGCCAAAAAATCATCCCGCAAAGCACGGTCATTGTTATGATCAAGATATTAAAAGTGTCTTCAGTAGTGAGGGATGGGGTGCGTGCACAAAGGCTGGTTACTACGTCACTGGAATTTATCGCCATAATGGTAACCGCCTTCACGATATTCAAAAACTCAGATGTTGCAAAATGGCGGCATGATCAGGTCAGTCACCTATACCCGTTATTACTGCATTTTTTGTCTTTTGTCTTAAAATATTTCAAATTTAACAAAGAGTTAACTTATTAGAGGTGTGCAAATCCGATCCGAATCCGATCCGTTCGGATTTCGTAACCAAAATATTCATTTCGGATCGGATTGATAAAGTTGTTTCGTGGTCGGATCGAAATAACTTGTTTTGAAGATTTTTGTTCCCATGCTTACTTCTTGAGATATTTCTTTTGTTTGTAACTATGTGACGTCATCTACTCAATTACATATATAATGAGATATCAGTAATTGTTGTGTATCTTTGCTATTTTTGATCGATTTGTTAAAAAACACAGTATGCTTAATGATGCAGGTTAAATTAACAAACGCGCCGCATCTTTCGAAATATTTTGATAAAAATAGCAAAGAATTACTGATATCTCATTATATATGTAATGGAGTAGATGACGTCACATGGTTACAAACAAAATGAAATATCTCGAGAACTAAGCATGGGAACCAAAATCTTCAAAACAAGTTATTATACAGTTTTACGAGCACATTCGTTTAAGAAAATACAAATTTTGATCATACTGCCCCTTTAATTATCCACGCATTATCGCAAGAATTAATTATCCATGCATTTATCAAAGCATTGTCGCGGTTGTCACTGCATTATTCGTTTGATACTTCATTGGACGTCACTTTGTCAGCTTCTTGACATGTATTTCTTGCTTTTATATTTATTTGGTCACTATGCATTTCACTGATATGTGCATTCCGCATTTTATCCCGAACGGCGTTCGACGTTCGACGCAGGCCTGGTTACAACCAGGCCTGCGTCGAACGTCGACCGTCGAACGCCGTTCGGAAGCAAGAAAAAATGCGGAATGCACATACAGTGAAATGCGTAGTAAATATTTCAACTTGAATGAGAAATTTATTTTATTAAAGAATTCTTCGGATCGGATCGGATTGGAATTCTCTATCAAAATTCGGATCGACAATTTCGGTCGGATTTTAAACATTAGGCAATTGTCGGATTATAAACGTCCGATCCGATGCACGCCTCTATAACTTATCATCATAAATACCATAATCATGGTGCAGACTCACCCATATTGCTTTATTTTGTCCGAAAGTTAATGATAAAAATTATTAAAAGAAAGCATTACAAAAAGGTTTAAAATTTAACGTGCTATACAAAATAATAAAAAAATGTTTACATAAAATTGTACAGCTAATTAACGTTAGACACATGCACATGTGTTTACCGAAAAGAAATTGGTTGGGATGATTTTGTATACAGTCAAGTAAAAATAAAATACTTGCCAATCGATGATTGAACATAATCACAAGAAGACAAATATGTGACATAACACCCAAACGCATCTAATACTAAATATACTAAGCCTAAATAAGCCTAAGATTCTTCGAAAGTTGTGGGTTTTCTCTGGGTACTCCGGTTTCCTCCCACAGGGAATGTCGATCCCCTAACTGACCCCTTCTACCGTAGCAGTGCTCTCAGAGATGAGTCATAAGGTAGCTTGCCTTCGACTTCATGAGTCCATCCCATTCACTCACTTACTACACGATGATTCTACTAATTACTGGACGATGAAATTTTAGGTACGTTAATCTTATGACTATATGCTGATAATATTCATGTTTATTTCATGCAGGTTTCGCCTACAAGCAAACACAAAATTAAGAACGATACTGGATAAAGATTGCAGTATACACGTAAACAGTAGAAATTTTATAGAAATAGTACAAGAAATATAGAAAGGTAAAAATTGGTCTATTTGCAAACAATATACGGCATGTATTATCGGAAGTGGTTAAAAATATAACTCTTGAGCATATTTTCTGTGTCATATCATCGATCATATCATTTGTTCAGGCATAAAATATAGATTGGAAGTGACATATTTAGTAATATTCATGCACTGATAGCATCGTACTCGACCCATGACATCAAACATCACATACTGACATATTTTATGTATAAGTATGAAGATGTTTGATCGATTTGATGTTGAATACTATAGACATGCTAAAAACACAAAGTACATGATAGGGACCCTTCCCCACAACCCCAAACGCGATAACCCCAGCTGCTCCAATGCAATTCGTATAGATATGACTCCAACTTTCCCTGATCCCATATAACTCTTACCCTGACCTCAAGTTGTAGTTGTATGTGTTGTAGATTGCTGCTTCTATTCTTTGAAGCTAAATTGTTAAGTTCGAGTCGGGACCGCTGGCTCCACCCGGAATGATCTTTGGCCCCTAAAATAGACGAAGTCCGCGAATTCATGATGGAAAATGAGATAAACTTATCCTTTCTAACTGAAACTTGGCTCAATGACTCAATTACAGATAGCGTTGTAAGCATACCTGGGTTTACAATCATACGCAAAGATAGATCTATAAACAACCATGGCGGAATCTGTATTTATATCAGAGACGGTGATACGAAACTCAAAATCCTTTCAGAAATTTCATGTTGTTCCGAACACGAAATCTTATGGCTTCATTTAAAACCTAGACGACTTCCTCGTGAATTTTCCTCAATCATAGTTGCCGTCCTATACCACCCCCCCCAGTGCCGACGATTTCAGCATGCAGAGTCACTTATTTCAGACACTGAGCGAAGTCGAAGCAAAATTTTACAGCTGCGGTATTATCATTGCTGGGGATTTCAATCGTCTTAATGTGAATCATATAATTAAGCATTTTCGGTTGAAACAAATTGTTAAATCACCAACTCGAGGCGAAGCAATACTTGATCTAATATTAACCAATATGCACGAGTTCTACAAGCCTCCGCAAATACTCCCTCCAATTGGATTATCTGATCACAACACAGTTGTAGTTTCACCCACTCACATTGTGAAGAAAGCAAAACCTACATTTGTATACAAACGAGACCTTCGTTAGAGTAAGAAAGATGCCATGGGGAGATTTTTACAATCAATCCTTTGGTCTGAAATTTTTGCTCAATCACAAAGCTGTGAAGATATGGCGAATTTTTTTTATGACATTGTAGCTATTGGTCTTGACCTCCTCATGCCAATTAAACGGATTAAGAAAATCTCTGCAGATGTTCCTTGGATGACCGATAAACTGAAAACATTTATAAAAAAAAGACAAGAAGCCTTTTTCAGTTATGGTCCAAAATCCAACTGCTTTAAATATTACCGAAATATTGTCAATCGCGAGAGAAAAGCGTGTAAATCAAAATACTATACGACCCAGGTTCACAGTAAAGAAAAAGATAACCCTAAAACTTGGTGGAGTGAGATCAAACGCCTAGGAGGAATGAAATCAATGAATAGCTCCCTAATAAATTTGATAAATATCGCTGGTTTTGAAGATATATCGGAACAAGAACTAGCAAACAGAATAAATACAGCTTTTCTTGAGCCCTTATCAGAATATCAACTATCTTCACCGTTAGAGCGACTTAACTTAGAGGAAAACCCAGACTTCTTAGAAGTTTCTGAAGAAAGGGATTTATCACAGCTACAAAAACTCAACCCCAGTAAAAGTGGTG